GGCTGTGTGCATTTAAAAAAAAAAGTGAACTAGACTGGTGGCCTGAATCCAAGTAAGCTTGTACCACTCTTCTTACTCTGAATGTTATCTAGAGAGCAATGGCACAGAAAGATCACTTTYAAACTTAGTCTCCATAGCTCCTTTGTCACAGCAATATTATAAAAGCAGAGTCCTGAGGGGTTTTTTTTCTGATTCAAGAAGGGAAAAAAAGTAAAGTTAGTAYTCAGTCATTTTCAGACCTCTTTGCAAAACACTCTAGCCACCCATACAAATAAAACTCAGAATTGCCCAGAAGCATTTCATCCTTTGTGCTCATAAACGAGGAACCTTGACCTCCAGATTTTAATTTATTTTATTGAAATATTTATTTCTTTCAATAAATGAAGCATTACAGATTTGACTCTCTTCGCAAGAAAGATTAGTCAGACAGCAAGAGTGCATGCACTGATTTTATTTCCTACTCTCCATACATACGAACTATGAAGGTATAAAGCTGACTACCAAAAGAGTAACAGAAGGTGTTAGCAAATTCCTCTCTAAAGCTCCAGCTTATCAAGTTAATGATTAATTAATTTATTAAAACAGAGCTGAAAGTCCACGAGCAAAGTTCCTAAGTAAAACAGACTGATTTTATTTGCTCTTAAACCAGTCCCCTAACTCTTTCAAAAATGACAGTACCTGTTAYCCTGACCAGAAGCTTTTTTCTACCTCATAGAGGATTGCAGAGTAAACCCACCAAAGATAATGGATTGATGCATGGAAACTAATGTTTATAAAATGGAGTCCTTCACACAAAAGGCTAAGTATGGCTRACAGGAAAACAAGAAGCATCTGCACCAAAGCCCCGGCTGTGTTGTCACTCAGCACATGACAGAGCCCACAGTGGGATTATCAGCCAGCTCACAGTGGACATACCAGGATTGTTTAATTGCACACCTAAATAATTTCATAAACCACAAGGAAAAAGATCACGCCTCTTGCCTAAGCTCCTCCAGAAAACCTATCCATTATTTATAATTATCTACTAATGCTTCTCCCATTTGCCATGTACTGCRTCACAGCAGTGAGCATAGTGACCTTTTGCTGGACTTTGCTGGCAGTGGTATTTCAGAGTTGCCCCACTGAGCAGTGGGATCAGGAACAGCAGCATTTGCAAATGGTGTTCTAAAAGAAGCAGGCAAAGGGGCTGAACCACCCTAGACTGAAAACAAGGTTTTTGAGTTGATAGGTGCCATTAAGGAGGACAGGATGCAGAGCTCAGATGTCACTCATCCATACGGTCTCCCATCAATGACCTTTGCAAAGGACAAATCAATACTAAGCAGATACTGCATCCACTACTTCTTACTGTGTAGGAAAGGTCAGCCCATTTTCATGTATGTATCAGTTCCAACATTTCTGTTTTCAGACACAGAACTGCTTAAACCTGGGAATCCAGAAAAAAAATTCTCTCTTGCACATAACACCATTGCAGAATGTGTTAACTTAAAAAAAAAAACCAAAAAAAACCTTGGAAGGAAACATTTCATACACAAGGTATGATGCTTGCAGAAGGAATGTAAAGCTCTACCTTGCTATCATAAAATGTTGTCTAAAAATACAATGCAAATGAAATTATAAACAGCATTTATGAGACTGCTTCCTTAGCAAAATCTGGTACCACCTGTGTGTTTTACCACAGAAACAAATATATTTTTAAAACACTAAGCCATTTACAGTCATTTTGTGCTAGCCCACTGCACTGTTTTTGTTCATATGCACCAGCCACAGAAATAATTCTCCTCTTACAGTTCATTTAGATGACATATTTTGAGAGAAGCCTTCATAGAAATATATGTTTTGCTTCTATATTTGAACTTGATCCCATTTAGCTCAATGCCCAATCCTTTTAGTTTCAGCAAGAAAATCTGTACTACACGTATTTCCACAGTCTAGGAGATGCTTGGTACYGAAATCATAGCTGAAATTTCTGGCCTTCTTTTAAATATATATTTGAATTCCCAAAGTATGATTCAGTTTAACACGTCACAGTAACTGAAAGGTCAAGGATGAAAATCAAAACTCTATCACAACAATGCTGTGTTTAAATGAAAAAGTAACCTGTTGTATATCTTAAACACTCCACATCMAACAACACTAAAAGTTCAGTCTGGTTCTGGTTAAAAGACACTGCWGCCCTATTTGATATTTCAAGTGCAAGATCCACAAGGACAGTGTTTTAAAATATTCAGAAATCTAGTATTTTAAAATGCTTACACATRGGAAAAGGGTTATTTAATACTCAGTGTAATGAATTTCTGAGTTACATTAACTGCAGCATCATAAGGAGATATTGTACTCCTGCTCTCTAGCTGGATGGAAGCGGAGCAATGGCACTGCCATACATCCAYAAGCAAAGTAATAAAAACCATCTATAATCTTTTGATGCATATATTTAATATATTTCAGTAAGGTTTATTACATTTCTTGCTTCCTCTTCTCAGCATCACTCATGGTTAATGTTGAGATAAGCACAATGTTAAAAATCACTCAGCAGTCCACTTCAAGAAAAGAGAAGCAATGTTTTTAAGAATAAAATAGTTATTTCTGATCTTATTGCACTTGAGTTGGTGAAGAGGTAAGGCATCTTATAATTTTGTAAATCACAGCACACATCCACTGATTCAATTATTTAAACATTTATGCTATTCTCTTGCAAAGACACATTCCAAAAGTGGTTTCTCTCTGTCAAGCAGACATGAAGGTAAAACCAAATCATTCAGCTTTTTACCACAGAACAGTGTACACTGCCAGATTAGCAAAATCTATTCTGGTGCTGCTATCACCCATATCAGCAAACATAAATCTGAAATAAAGCTTTTCACTAATTTTTAATTAGTTGACTATGCCATCACATTGGAAAATCAAATTTTAAAAAATAATTTTAAAAATAAAATACCATTTTCTTGAAGTCAAACATTGAAAAAAAAGCTATACTTCTAACTGCAGCCATGTGCCAAAAGCCAAATTACAAGCAAGCAATTAATTTTAAGATTTTTGAAATTATCTGCTGAATGTTTTTTTTTCATTGAGAAAATCCAGTCTATGCACTGGGATGCAGGACAGAGCTTTCTGTCTTCCTGTTTTATCACACTGCTTACTTTGATTAGATGCAATGGCATAGAAGTATAGTTTTTTCAAACATACTTTTATTGCATTTTGGATAGCTGACTTATTGGCAGTGGTTTTGGGGCATTTCCTTCTTGAATTTTTATGACTATGCCTTTTTGATGACTATGCTTTTTAAATTTTTATTGGGAATTAAAAATGGCTGAATTTCTTTAGGGACAGATGACAAATTCTATCAGGCATGAAACCGAAAATGTTCATTTAGATGCAGAGGGCATTTAAACAAAAAATTAAAGCACACACACAAAAACCCTCAATGCAAACACTGCTGTGTGCTTGTCCTTTCCCATTCTGCCCTTAAAAAAGTCCCTAGCTCTTTGAAAGCAGGATCCAAAATAAAACAAGCTGAACATATAAGTTCTTTTAAAGGAATCTAGGTTTTTACACAGTGAAAGTCTATTTCCTTACTCCCTAACAACAAAGAACACACAGCAGAATAGTAATTATTCTAGAAACAGTTAGACTTCCTACTGTGCCTTCATARCAGAACTGTGAAACAGCAACATTGCAACAGCATTGAGAGTAAATGGAAATCAGAACGCTAACGCTGCATGTGAGCACGCAGGTCTGCTCAAAAGACTCTGCAGGCTGTGGGTATTGCTCTAACTGGCTTTAAGTGTCTGCTTTTGAAAACAGCTATTCCTCATAGGTAGTCTCTTTCATTTTGTTTGGCCATACATTAATACGTTGTCATCCTGCATAGCATTAAGGGAGGGTTGTGGTAGAAGTAAAAATAAATACTTTCGCCAGAAAGCTGGTGATGGRAAGAGGGAAACAGGTTACAGCCAGAAGCAGCATCCAGCTAGAAGTCTTGGGTTTTTTACATTCTCAWAAAAAGAGTTGGAGAAAATGCAGCAGAAAGGTGTAAAACAGATTTTCTTCATTACAACTATGAACAATACAATGCTATTGATCTGAATTGTGTGATGTGTTTTGTGTGTTCTGTTCTGTGATGTGATGTGTTTTGGAGAAACATTTACTAAGAAACATTTACTTTCAAGAAAGAAGACAAAATAAGAGGAATCCATGACATTCTTTACTTCCTTTAAGAGTGTCATTCAAAGCAGGCAAATAAACTCRAAGCATACACATTCTTCGATAAAGACATACTGTGTAAAAGAGCCAGAGTTTCCTGCAACAAATCCTTAAAACCAATAACCAAGTCCCTAAGTTTTATATTTCATCRTGGTATAAATCAGTGACAAAAAGTGCACCTTCAGCACACTCCATCCTGAACTTTCAAAGGAATACTTTATTTAGAGACCCAGTTCACTTCCTTATCTATACCCAGAAGTCCCAACACTCAATTTTACCTTTTTTTTCCTTCCTACGCTCAAAAATTATACTGAAACTGATTTAGAAGGTTTTTTTATTACCCCAGCAGAAGTAGGTACCTGTGTAGAAGAGTGCACACATTCCCATAGGCTTTTTGTAAAATCTCAAAAGCCATTATGAACTATTTAATATTATCTAAATTTTAACCATGTCTTGCACCTGAACCCACCTCACTRTCTTACCCTATCATCTCACTAATAATGGCTTCTGATATTCCAAGTCCTATATCTTAATTAAAACTGTGAACTTGTATTACAGCACTAAATTAAGTACAAGACTTTGAGAATTGGGGCATTTGGGAGAAAAACAACTGATATGATCCAACATTTGATTGTCCAAATCCCTTGTGTTTTTAAAGTGAGGTTTTCCTTTAGGTATGACAGATGACCCTTAGAAAAAGGCACCACATCAAAGTAATCAAAACAGTACCAAACCAAACCAAAATGAAAACTATCAAGCACATCTTACAGCATCTGAAAAAAAAAAGATGATTCTACCTGTATCGGACATGCTCTATTGTGTCATATGTCAGCTTGCTGCTGATATTCTGACTATGAGGGTTGCCTAGGAGACAAGAGAGATACAGAAATTAATCATWAATCAAAATTTTGCTATTAAATTTCTCTTTTATCAAAGTATTACACCAAGTGAGCCTGAAAGATGATAAAAAAAAGCTTCAATGCATACTTCACAGCAATGCCCTGAAGCTCCTYAGTCAAGAGAAGGGACACACGACAGGGTAAAGCAATTAGGACAGACCTGGAAACTTCCAYTGGATCTCTTACTAATACTTAGGCAGTTCCCTTAAAGAGAAAAGGAAACTGCACACGCRCAATTATACTAGGAAAAACTACAGAGAATGCACATTCATAAAAGTATTCACTCAGCAGCCAAGAAGCAAAAGATAGGCTCTGGAGATAACAGACCTTCAGGATTGGACAGCAGAATTAATCCTGGGGGTTTTAGTGTCTGAAATTTAAATAGTTCATTRAAATTTAAATTTTATTGCAAAATTAGTAGCCACCTTAGCCCAGCTCTGAACAAGCATGTTTAACAACTAAGACAGCATGATTTTATCTTCTTGAGCAAAAAAGATTACACAATCACAGCAGACTTGCTGTTAGCAAATACTTAGAGAACATGCCTGAACTGTTTGGAAAAGGAATCAGAAAAWATTGCTATACTAATACAGTTTTTGCAGTAGGCTCCAATATTAGCTACTCTTTTTAAAATTTAAAAATTAYCCTGCTGAAAGTTGTTGACTGAAGGTGTTAAAAATATTCATTTTAGAGCTCAAACCCAAAACTGATACTTACACTTTTCATGTCTGATGTTGCATTTCTGTAATTTCCAATTCAAATAGTTTCAATTTAGAAGTGAGACTATCTCTTACTTATATTTCCTCATTTACACATGCAACAGCTAAACTGCAGTTCTTTGGGCCTGTGTATTATCACCAAGAAAATAAAAAAGCTGCAAGTCAAATTCCCCCTTCATTCACATCTGTGTTTGTTAAATTAACTCTTTCTATACAGCATTTATTGTCCTCAGAGTATGAGAWGTAACTGAAAAGAGAATTGACCATACTAGAGCTCTTTCGTCATTTTAGATGAAGACACTAATAAAAAGACACAATTTGTTCTCCTATAGCATTATAGGTACTATGCAAATCTGCTCCAAACTGGCAGTACTATTATTTCTATTCACAAGCACTCAATTGATTCACAAATTAATTTTTTTCCTGCCACAGATGATACTTATTAAAAGGGTTGAGMCCAATGTTGTTTGAAATAACTAAGATCAGAGTGCATACATTTYACTTTACAATGTCTGTGGTGACAGAACATTCATTTTAGTATCACTGGCATGCATTTGAATAAGAGATCTTGAATGTAATCAAACCAATGTATTTTTTTATAACAGCAAAAAGCCCCTATCCCTATCAAGAATAACACTTATTTTGTAGTGGAACTTAAATTCATGCTCTGGATATCAGCCTTGCCAGCATTCAGGAAAAAAGAATAGGGGGAAATTATATGATGGCACATTGAAAATGAAAACTACCTGAAACTCTCAAGTGGTGTGCCCAGGTGATAASCACAAGTGTGCCGGCGCTGGAGTGAACAAGCCTTTCCTTGTAAAGCACYGGTACCTCGCTCCCAAGTGGGGAATCCCTTTGCTCCATGCATCAGGGAGCATAAGAAAGACACAAAACCAGCAAAAAGGGACACATGACCCTCAGCTAGTAACACACCACAGGAAAYTTGATTATTTCAGTGGGACTACTCACAGCATAATACTGTGCAGTATMTTTTTTTCTGGTTGAGCATGACTCACTGTAATGTAAATTATCTCAGTAACTGTATTTCTTAAACAACGCATGTTGTTGACTTYGTATAAAATCATTCTCAGTATGTGATTCTCAGCTATATAATTACATCAGAAAGAAATGAAAGGTTTAGGTAGACGAGCTGGGGCTGAAGTAATTACAAGTGGTGCTGTAATAGTTAAATCTCCACCCAGATATTACACAGTTCTGTAGATACTTTTACTCACATTCTTCTGTGCACGATTGCTTTGGCAATACCTATCCTTTTTATGAACAGGCACCAAAGCCTAATGGAGAGAGGTACAGCACCCATTCTCTGCCTAAATTCTCTTGAGATCTTTGAGCTAAGCTTTCTTCTGAATAAAATGYTTATACTGAGTCACAGTATAAGTTCTTTTTGATGACTCTCACTGAGAAGGAGGGTAGTTCTGGATTCTGGTCCTTGCATAAGGACCTTGCATAGGTTTGCATTTTGTGTGGAAAAAACCACAAAAAATGAACAGCTTATAGCTACAATGTATTTTTTATCCCAAGCCTGGTGCCCTAGCTCTGAGGCAACAGACATGCTATTTTTCATTTTTCTTCACCAACATTGACACATCCTTGGTCACCAAAGAATAAAGCCAGGGAAGACACAAAGGGCCTAGGCTTCCTTTGTAAAATCACTGGCCTTCCAACTATTCTATTGCACTGTTAAAAAACCTGCAGAAGGTCTCTTCYAAGAAGTCAGTTTTGAATGATTTAGATGGAAACTTGAAAAGACTAATGCAAGTGTTGCTTTGCACTTACCATAAACATTGTTTCTGAGGTCATCAGTAAAAGCTTCAAGTAGACTCTCTGGGAAAAGTGCTGAACCAGCATGGTCAAGGTAAGTAATCCCTAAAATACAAATAAAATTACTAGTTTCAATTTTTAAAAGATTTAATGCCATTTTCTCCCATAGACTACGTTGTGAAGTGCACCATTCAAATACCCCTTTTCATTCACTAGCAGAAAAATAAATAAAAATATGAAACAGTAGAAGCCAAACATTTTGATTATCTGAGCATCATTTTTAAATAAAACCAAAGAGKTCCTTCCTTTCATGCTTAGATTACACATTCTTTGGAAGAGAAAAATCATTTGTTTAGCCTGTACACAACTTAGCAAGCTGGTGTCTGTACCTTGCTACTTCTAGGCATTCCTTCTCAAAAAGTACTATTATCACAATGATAATAATTATTATTAACAACAACAGCAATAGTAATGTTGTCTCCTTGCCGGCAGGTGAAGAAACTTTCTCAAGAACTGACAAGGCCCAAATCATGTCTGAAGCCCAAAGACAGGACTAGTGTAAGTTTTAATGTATTTAATCAYATCTCGCCACTCTGCTGCACTTAACATCCAATTCATTTGTAAAATCTCCTTTTATATTATTAAGCTATTGCAAAACTTTTAAATAAATGCTTATTGGAAATGAAGGCTTTTTCATGTTTTGCCATTTTAGATTTCTTAATCTTTAGCAATTATTCTTCCATTTCTCCAGTGTGTTTCACACTCTTTATTAGTTTTTTCATTTCACTTACCTTAAGTATTTCAACCTATTTCAAATTTTAATAATGATGAATATGATTAAGATTAGAATTTATTAAGTATTTTAAAGGTCTTCTCYTTCCACATGGATTTAAAATTGAGTTAAGCTTTAAACGAGAAGCCTTGACACTTGGAAATATATATTATATATTATGTTACTGTAGCAGTGATCCAGTGGGTAAAGCTGTGAGGCAGAGCTAATAATAAAACCAATCCAGACACCAACCCCTTATTTCCCAAAGAGAAGGGCCCTTTCCTGCCTTAAGATTTCCTCACTTACAGTGCCTAGAAGAAGCAGAATTCTTAATGATGGYTTGAAATCAATCAGGTTTTTTTGAGGTGCTTTAAGGGGTAGAGCATGGACAAAACCAGGGTCAATTTATTAATTGCACAGGTTTTTCAGTTTTCTGCTTTTTAAAAAAAGAAGAATCCTAGGAAGTTTCTCCCATGCAGCATGAAGCAGCAAACACAAGCACTCAGGAGTCAAAATACATACGGAGGTCTGTCCTGCTCAGCTCTCCAATGGAATGGCTTTGGAGGGAGAGAGCAGTCCAGTCCTGTCCCACGGCAGGACACAGCCAGGCCCATGCCTGGCAGGGTGGCACAGCTTCTGCCAGCAAGGGGACAGCAGCTGTCCCTCCAGGAGGACAAATGCTCACCATGGGCACGCCAGGACCTGTAGCTTGGCACAGAGATCTCTGGCAGGCTCTGAGATGGAGCTAAAGCGTGGAGCAACAACCACAACCTCCGCCAGCTCAATAGCAGCAGTCAGGGCAATGGGAAGCACATGGGCGCTGGCCACAGCTGGGACAGCTGGGAAAGGCAGCACTGGGGCAGCACTGGCGCTGGCCACAGCTGGGACAGCTGGGAAAGGCAGCTGGGACGAGGCAGTCTTGGGGCAGATGCAAGTGGAAGGACTGCTGTTCTGGAGGTGACCACCCCGGCCAACACTCTCCCAGCAAAGTCTCCACAGAGGTGGCATTTGGCTCYCATGGGCACCAGGGGCACAGCTGGGTGATGATCTTCAAGGAGCAGCTGCCACCTTTGGACCTTCCCAGCCCCAACACGGTGACAGCACTGAAGTCACTACACAGCCCTACAGTGTGAGCAGAAACCAGGCAGCCAGATGAGGCTCCTGAAACACAAACCATTCACTGAAAGGGACAGGCACTTCCCATCCTGACCAACACTTCTGTGAGACAAYGTGTACTAATAGACAGATAAGGGTAAAGGCACCTTAAATGATTTTCCAAATTTGATTCTTTATGTAGCTCATGATGAAGGGCAATATTGCAGTTCTGTGAAATGGAAGTATTAAAAGCAGCTAGTCATTTTTTAAATTCCTCCTCTGGGTATAATACTTTTAAATCTGTGAGAAAATTTGGCTGAGGAAGGAAAAAATATTAATTCTTAAAATTTTATTTGATATTTAATGCTGCTGTTTAATTGAAAGCAGAGAACAGCATTTAATACTCTCTCTCATGGCCCAAAAAAAGAAATGGGCTCTCTCATCTTTTGAGACTGCACTGAAACAAATATCTTCATTGCTATTGCACTTTTATGATGTAGTTTTTCCTTGCTGTCTTATTTCAACAAAATTGTATTTCTAAAGAAAAGAAAAGAAAAGAAAAGTGGTACATGCATAACACTATGAAAAAAACACATTAATAAYGTTCATTGTGTTTTTCCCTGGTTTAATAACATTTGCTATTTTATCTTTATTGAATGCATATTAACCAAAGAGATTTGTCAGTATAGAGTGAACAATACAATTCCCATTGTTTCACTGCGGTATTTAGCATATAGGCTACAACACTATGAAATGATACTGTTTATGGGAAATAACAGGAGAAAGAAAGTATAATATGATCAACCAAAAGAACATTAAAATGCAATATCCATCAGGACGTGGTTTCATTGCTCAGGGAAAATGTAAAATTAACTTTTAGTTTCATTTACATACTATTATGTTTGGAATGTAACTGACTTCACTGGTCTAATAACATATCAACTATTTGATAAAATCATACTTCAGAAGTAGGGAATATTTGATAGGAGTATTGAAAACCATTCAATGTGTTGGCATTAGTTATGGAAAGTTATTCAGCCAGACTATCGGTTCATAAGCTGCAATATTCATATGCTAATATCCTTACAGATTAATTTTACATGGGCAACTCTTGGGAAACCAACACAGGCCAGGCTGTCCTGCTGAAAAAATCCCAGCCCAGCTCTCTGATCTCTTTACATGCTAAAATTCACCTCTTAACAAACCATGTACCATCTCTTGGCCCTTCGTGAAACTTCATGAATGCACACCTACATACAGCCTCAAAAAATGCCAGGGGAACAACCAGTTTAACTGAACATTTCCATCTCTTGAAAGAAAAAAAAAGATAATTTAGTTTGGAGCATTTGAAAATTAGTGTTTAAGATCAAGTTATCATCTCACTTGATCAAGTTTAAGATCAAGTGAGAACATTCAACTGCACAGAGTCTGAGAGCCTGCAAATATATAAGCCAAAAAGAAACTACCAGATTAATCTTTGGGAGCCAGATACCTGCTTCTGGCAAAAGCACACTTTCCTAAAACATGACTCCACCTGACTCAGAAAAAATTGAAAAACATCATTTGATAAATTGAAAGTAGAACAAGGCAGTTACACCTTTACCAAATCTTTTAGTAACTACTAAGTTGTGTACGTGTCTACCATCCAGAGGTTGGTCTGGAGAGGAGGCACAGAGAGACCTTGGGGGCACTTCCTACAGTGGCCTGGTGCCACACAGCACAAAGAGACTAAGCTTTCTCCTGCTTCATATCCCACCCATAAACCCATGTCTAGTTACCCAGCTACTCCCTGTCTAAATGATTACTACTTTGGTATTATGTAATATGTTCTTSTAATCCTTGAAATTGTTCCTGGTGCTACACATTTCTGAACTTTGTCTAAGTGTCACTTCCAAAAATAACCAGTTTACCTACACACCATCTGCCTGCTCCATGTTCACCTCCTTAACCTCTTGTTATTCTGTGATTCTGCTACTGTCACCAAGACAAGTTAGCCTGAGCTGTGACTTGCACAGATTATTTCTCACAGCCCTGGAACTCCAAAATTCCTGCACACCAGCTGATTACAGGCTGCCAGTTATACTGCCAAAAACCTCATAATAAAGAATGAAATGTGTAGTTACAAGGCAGCAATTCTACAGAGTCATGAATTTTGATTGGTGGGTATAATTGCAATTCAGTAGGATTATATACACAATGCTATTTGGAAAGCAGATTCAGACAATGCCTTGGGGAGAGAGCATATATCTTAAGTATGGCAATATTAACAAAACCAGTATGAAATAGATTATATGAAAACAAGCTGAAGGCAAAATTAAGCAATATCTGTCAAAAGATAAATATCACATTTCCATATACCAAACCATAAGCAGGAGAAAAAACAAGTGACAAAACAGGGAGAAGTGGGCTCTATAGAGGTTGTAGACAAGTATGATATTGTTTGGACACAGAGAGGTTTTAACAGGTASTACCACATCAGGTACCTCAGATACACAGAATCATAGAATGGTTTGGGTTGGAAGGGACCTTAAAGAWCATCCAGTTCTAACCACCCTGCCATGAGCTGGGACACCTTCCATTAGACCAGGTTGCTCAAAGCCCCATCCAACCTGATCTTGAAGAACACTTCCAGGGATGGCACATCCACAACTTCCCTGGGCAACCTGTTACAGTGCCTCATCACCCTCACAGTAAACAATTTCATCCTAATACCTCATCTAAACCACTCTCTTCCAGTTTGAAGCCACTCCCCCTTGTCCTGTCACTAAATGCTGTTGTAATATGTCCCTCTCCATCTTTTCWGTAGGCTTCAGGTACCAGAAGGCTGCAATTAGGTCACCCCAAAGCCTTCTCTTCTCCAGGCTGAACAACTCTAATTCTCTCAGCCTTTCCCCATAGGAGAAGTGCTCCATCCCTCTAATCATCTTGGTGGCCTCCTCTGGCTTGCTCCAACAGGTCCCTGTCCTCCCTGTGCCGGGGTCCCAGAGCTGGATGCAGCACTGCAGTTGGCGTCTCACTAGAGTGGAGCAGAGAGAGGGAATCACCCCCCTCTCCCTGCTGGCCGCACTGCTTTGATGCAGCCCAGGACACGGCTGTCCTTCCAGCCTGGGAGCACACACCACCGGTTTATATTCAGCCAACAGGTTATTTTAGTATCTAAGTCAGATGCCCTTTAGAGTCAGCTCCTTCTTTCCAGTCACAGACTAAAGACTTAGCTCCCCCAAGAGATGCTCCTAAA